AATAAGTTGTTTTAAATATTTCGGGTCTATCTTAGCTTGAAACCTTCAGAACCTTCAGGAGAGGCGCACAACAGCACGGATTTATTTCTCAGAGACACGGTTGGCGCGATTAAATGCCATTTTTCTCTCTACTCTTCGTGCGTTGCGGCTGATTAGCGGAATGTCAGCACGGAAGACATACTCGCACGGCGCCTGAGGGAACAAAAAGCACCGGAGGACGAGCAGAAAGGGTCCCAAAGTGAGAGAAATAAGGAGTGAGTCCGGCGCACCTCGCTCTTCCTCGCGCTTCCCTCGGCGTCCAACATGGCAACCTGGCGCTGCGTGCGGGTGCTGCTCACAAACCCCGTGTTTTCGGTGCACAAAAGCCATGTCCCGCGCAGAACTTTATGCCACCTGGCCCATAGACAGTGTAGAAGTGCTTTCCTAGTGAGAAACGGGTCGAAATGGGTCTCCTTATGCCGGTACTCGACGCAGAAGGCCGCGCCGGAGAAGCCCCTGGGCCTTGCAGACGAGCTCCTGGCGGCCAAAGTGCAGCCAGAGCAGGGCAAGGAAAAGGCCGAGGAGGGAGACCAGGAGAACGAGAAGGAGAAGGACGAGAAGGCCAAGAGACTCCGGAGGCTGACCTTCATCTCCTTCGGGGTGATGATGACGGGCATGGGGGGGGTGCTGCTCTGGACATGGGGTGAGGAGGCTGCCCGGGTTTTATGTCTTTCTTTCCTCGGTTTTACGTATTTTCTGGTCTTGTTTTTTTTACCCTCTGGGTGAAGCTGGTCAGTGGCACGGATTTGTCAAGCGGGAGGTCGTGTCCAGTGTCACGCCCAGGCATAATTAGTCATGGGTATTCGTGTTGGTTTCCCCCTCTTGCAGTTGCACAATTTTCCTCTTCTGTGAAGTTTAGCAAAAGACCTATGTTAAGAAATTTATTTGAGTAATTGGTTAATGTTGCCGAGAGTGACACACAAAGATAGATGCAAATGGACACTTATCTTATAGAGCATAAAAAATAGCATAATAAACAACAGCTGCATCAACCTCATATTTACCGCAAAATAACAAAAATATCCACTGTATATCACCACAACTCCCATACACAGCCAGAGTTCTTAATGTCGTGTTTTCTATAATTTGGCAACAAAGTGCTAATAAAGGAGGGGTACAGAGAGCTTACCGACCTGTCTAGGGTGTAAGTAGAAGGTAGGTAAGGGTTGGTTTGGATTTTGGGTTCTCTTGATACCCTGGTTTTGGTACTTGGTAACAAATACCAAGTAATTATCCAGGATAGAAATACGTGCTGTGTAGTTTCAGTTTGCCGCAGCCATATAGTACAAGGTAAATTTTTGTCTGTATTGGACAGGAATAATATGCTTTTCATCTATGGTATTTCTTTTGCAAAGTGATGATAATACGGTAAGCGTCCAGTTTCATCCAGCCATCTTTTATAATGTAAACATATGCAAACAATAGAGCAAATAAATCTAAGAAACTTATCTTCTATGTACTTGTGTCACAAATCAGATATAACGAAGTTGTTAGACAAGCAAGTGTGAGAGAGCCCTAAATGAAGGCCTCCAAAAAGAATCGTTTAAAAAGTCGGAAGCTGGGTGGAACTGGAAATTTGCTAAGAATACTTTTTGAGGTCAAATAAAAATTAAAACACTTTCTTCCATTAATTACAAGGGGTCTTCTTTTTACATAGCTAGTGACATTGTACAGTAATACTGAATGAGTAGAATATTTGGTACAATATTCAATACGTTAGTAGGGGAGTTATAAAATAAAGTAAAATAAAATAAGATGGTCACATCATTAGAAGTAGAGGTACATAGTTTGGCTTTGCATATAAATGCCTGATGTCATTGACAGTTTAGAAGATTTTCCTTTAATTTCCTTTTGAAAGTGATCTGGCTAGAGATGTTTCTAATATTATCTGGTAGGTTGTTCAAGATCTTGGGTCCTTGTATTTACATTTGCCTTGAATGTATTACAGTGTACATATTTTTGACATGCAGAGAGTTAATCTGTCATGTTTCAAATGCCTGTTTTGTTACCAATTGTTTGTAGAGGTATTACCTAATGAGGATAGTCACCCTGTATGACATTATGAATCAATACACATGTGTCAAATTGATATTTTTATTCAACTTTTCACCATTTCATTTTGTTTAAATGGGGGGTTTGTGTGGTCATGTGTATTTATATTACCTATTGCCACTCTTGCGGCAAAGTTTTGTAGTTTTTTTGCTCTTTGTATTTTGAATTTTGATGGTTGAGCCCAATACATTGGAACAGTAGTTTGTGATGTTGAATGCAAGGATTTGTACAACTAATTTTCGTCACAGTGGGAATTTTTGTTTTTTATTTGATTTACTTCTAGATTTTTCACAGAAAGGTTGGTTTACAATGATAGTCTTCAAATTCTATGATTGTATTTGTGGGGATTTTGGCTATAAAGATGCATTGAGTTTTATCAGGATTTAGTTTGAGGCCATTGTTGTTAAAATACATCTTTGCTTCTGTAACAGTCTGTTGAGTATTTCTTATCAATTCATTTAAATTGCTTACAGGGGTGGCATAAAGAAACTTAGTCATCTTCATATTGAACAAGGAGACAGTTGCTTGCAGTGGTTGATTGGTTGTTAATGAAAATAGTGAATATAATCAGGCCTAAAATTGAGGCTTATGGAACTCGGAAAGAGACTGTTTTTTAGATGACATATTAATATTAATATGAATTTTGACTGACTGCATTCTTGTGGTAGATAACATCTGAACCAATAGTTGTCAGTACCATGATTTTTCATTTTGTTAAGCAGGATTTTACGGCTGACACTGTCAAATGCTTTTGATAGATCATGTGTTTTCATAAATTTTGTATGTTATTTTTATTAGTGATGTTTCAGTGGATAGCATACTTCTAAGCCCATGCTACATTTCATAAATAAGGTGATTGAATTCAAAGAATGTTGATAGTTAATTTGCAACAATTTTTTTTTATTCCTTAGTATACATATTTAAGAAAATATAATTACAATATAATAAATAAAGGGGGAAAATTAGTGATACAGGAAATAATTTGCACAGATAGAGAATAATATCAGAAATGAAGAAATTAGATTATGACTAATTCCCCGCAGAGAGCAAGTCCCCAATAGGTTAAGAAGGAGATGGGGGGGGGGGGCCTGGGAGTAAAGCCCCCGAGTGTGGAAGTTATTTGGGTATAGTTTAAGTTTCCCTCAGATAGGTATTACAAGGTAAAATTTGCCTGTAATGGACAAAATAAGAATTCACTACAAGTAACACTTTGGTATACATTTACAGGAAAATGTAATGACACTCTAATAATCAGAGAGAAAAACAACAAATGCCACACAGAGACTAAGTCCAAGGCAATGGGGTGGGGGTCTGGGGGAGAAGCAATGTTTGTGGATTTCCCACTAATGGTTGGAGGTAATAGGGACTTAATCTAAGAATATAAGATCACTTTTTAAAGATTACCAATTTTTTCATTTATATAATTTGTGGTAGAAAATGGTGAGATTCACACATATTACAGCGTTGATTACTGGAAGAAGGAATAATAATTACAAAATTGGATGGTGGTGTAAAACTTATTACCGGTATTTGCTTCATACTGAGATGTTTGTAGAGTGTGCAGGTGTGGCTGGAGTAATAGGGACATACCATCAGAGGGGTACTGTTACTCTGTAAATAGTAAACCAATTTTTATATCACTTGCAGTGGAAAACAACAGACTGTCTTATAGGTAAAACAGTATGCAGATGGAAACCTTGCATTACTAGCTGATTGAATGTATGATAGCAAAAGGGCGACCTCAGGATAAGCGGGTAATAAAGAGGGACTCCCTGGCCCTGAAATCTTATGATAATAAGAAAAAATCATAAAAGTTAAATGGGAGGAATAATGCTTAGCTTACCCATTGCTTCTTGTATGACCATTTACTGGAAGGGTTCATTAAGTATGTTTATATGTAAAGCTCCATTATAAAGTATTCCTGTGTTTTCCAGGTGCGCCAAGTGTAGATGTTGAAGGGAATCGAATACGAGATGAGTTTTCAGACATGTCAATTGTTCAGCAGTATGTCATGCGAACTTGGCGTGCAATGAACGACATGAACAAAATGATCCAGGAACCATCGCGTGAAAGGTTACTACCAGGACCTTTGAAGGAACCATACATACAGCCCCCATATACCCTGGTGCTGGAGCTTCGGGACATTTTGGTGCATCCAGAATGGACGGTTAGTGAACGAGGTTGTTGAAGTTGATATACAGGTTCTTTTTTTTTTTAATTCATAGGGTTTATATATGTTTTTTTTTTTTAATATTGTTTGTCTTGATTTGTTTCTCTCTCTTTTTTTCTTTCTTTTGGGCACAGCCTGTTATCGTTATTGTATTTGGAATGCCTTACCATGATCTCTCTTTTTTATGGCATGGTTTTAAGGAGTACTTTATAGAACTGTCAGTGTATTCAATCTTTACATGATTTTATATTTAATTACACTGAAAGAAATTACTGTAATGGGCCCAGTAGTAAGAAGAAGGCTGTAATTCTATTTGGTTTTGTTAGAAGGATATCTTTGTTTTTTGTTTTTTTAAATGGAAGACACTGAATGTTTAATTGATTATTGTGATGTGAATGCTATTTCTAATCAAACTCATTTCATTTTCTTTCTTAGAGATACATAAGACTGCATGTATCTGCCTTTGTTGATATTAGTTTTTTAAATATTTTTAATTTCCTGTACTTATTTTGCAGTATGAAACAGGTTGGAGGTTCAAGAAGCGTCCCGGTGTTGATTTCCTGCTCCACCATTGTGGTCCCCCCCTGTTCGAGATTGTTATATACACCAATGAACAAGGATTTGTAAGTTTAGTTTATTTATTGTTTTTGTTAAGGAGAGGGGGAAGGTAGGAGCCACTATAAGATAATTTTGGTCTGATATGAAGAATCTTTTTCTTTTTCATTTTATGTAGTACTGA